TTGTACCGGTTTGGTAGAATCAGTACCTAATTTTTTTTGTTGAGTTCTACGAACTGGTTAGATGTGTCCCAGAAAAGTTGTGTTTTCCGGAACACGTCTGGTTTTCATTCAGCTTCCTTCCAGGTGGGGCGGGGGGGGGGGAACCCTTCCCAAAAGTCCAAGAGAGGAGCAATGGAAAACGTTGATCACGTCACTCAGGTGAAAGCTGTCTCAGGCGGTGGGCAGTAGTCCAAGGCCAAAGTGCCCGTGGAGCGCAAGAGGGTCGGGAGCATGCTAAAGCAAGGTGGGATTCTTAACTTCTTTAACCCATCAAGTCTGCTGGTACAGATGGGACTCTATAGTGTTAATATGCCTCTAGTTTAGCATATATTACATGGGATTTCTATGCAGCCCCTTCTTTTTCCACAAGCAACTGCAATTAGACTTCTAGTCATGGCTGACTGATGCAGCTGCAGTGAAAGTTGGCTGAACAATGGTTTGATTATAAGCTACAGGAAAAGAAAGATAACTAGCCACACCCTACCTGCCTTTACAGGTGTTATGATGGTTTGGATAGGTATATTTCTTTCATTGCCTCCCTGATTCAAAGATTTAAGTCTATTGCAGGAAAGGTGCCTTAAAAGAGCGGCAGATTTATTGGATTTCTAGTTTTTGTGCCTAGAGCCCTGCAGCATCTGGCTAGCGAGGCTCTACTTCTCCATGGAAGCTGAGCCTCAGTTTGGAAAGTCCCAGAAAGTCTCATGTCCCATTTAAACTGAATTGGATCCCAAAAGAGATCCTGATTTTGTAGCTGTTTACATGTCCTGGTGTCTTAACCAGGTTCAGCTGCAACCTCAGCTTCTCTGGCACCTTGGAGAGATCCTAAAGTCTCCTAAACTAGTTTGATATGAATGTTCCTCAAGCAATTGCATTCCAGGTCTGTTTGATGTTCAGTTGCCATACAGGTAGTCCTCACTTAATGACCAGTCACTAAGCAACTGTTCAAAGTTTACAACGAACCCCCAAAAGGTACTCATGTCCTGGTTCCAGGGTTCCAATAGTAGCACCCACCCTTTAGTAGCATGACTGCATTTTTGGTGCTTGGCAACCACTCACTTTTACAGCCCATTGCAGCATTCTGCAATTATGCGAATGTTACTTTTGACACTTTTTGCTGGTTTCCGAATTTGGGTCACAGGACCATGGGGATGCTAAAATGATTGGTCATGTCACTTTTTCAGTGCTGTTGTAACTTTGAATGGTCACTAAACGAAGTGTTGTAAGTCGAGGACTACTTGTACTTAAAAATGATATAGTGTACTTTCATGTCTTCAAACAGCGCAAGTAGAAAAAAAGGCCACAGGTAAAAATAGCCATTTATTTTTCCAAAAGTCATGACTCTGAGAAATGAAGGGGTCTTAGAGAGCATCTAATCCAGCCCCCAATTCAGTGTAGGAATTCACTAGTACAGCATCCCCAGCAAATGGCCATCTAGCCATTTAACCATCAACAGTGCAAAAGAGCCCACCACTCCCTGAAGCAATCTGTTACCCCATTGGACAGCCTTTTTTGTTATTATTGTTAAGAAGGAAAAAACGTGTGTGTGAATGCTCACTTTATTTGCCAATCTCCAGTCCAAACAAAATCCACAGCCTTGAAATGAAGGTTAAAAATAATTCCCTGTCCTTCCAATATTTCTCATTCTTGCAAAGCTGAAACTGCATCATGAAGAAGAGGGGTTGTTGAAGCCTTCAGGGGAACCCCAAAGCTTACAAAAACATTTCACATCTTTAGAAAAGAAATCCAAAATGGAAGACGGTTCCTCAAAATAACAAATGGTGACTACTGGAGGGAGGTGGTGTTCCTGCCTGTGAAGATCTCCCTTGTTGAATAATTATCATGATTATCTCTAGTCTCAATATAAGAGAATGTTCTGTCTCACCTGTAGCCACAAGGTGAGAGTCCAAATTTCCAAAGGAAAATACACAAACAGAAAGGAACAGGAACGACAGAGTTAACTTCCTTTGGCTGAATCCGTCTTTGGCAGTTTTCCCAGAAGCTGCCTACCAAGTCTGATAACGAGCAGAACCATAAATCAGAGGCTAACGCCACACAGAATAATTTGTCAGAACTGCTAACTCAAATAAACAAGTTGACCCGAACAGGGATTCAGAGCTAACACGCCTCCTTATATTCCCTGAGGGGCGTGTCAGTCTCTTTTCTCAGTCCCTGATTTGACATTTCCTTTTATGTTGTATTTCACGTTTCTGCCTGCGTCTTTGCCTTGCATCAGACCAGCATTTCTCGGCTTGATCTTCAGCCAATGACTCCGGCACGCTCTCCTGATTATCTGCCGACACCTGAGGCACAATCAGGGAGGAAGATTCTGGGGAGGAAGACAACCCTGAAACTTCCAGCAAAGCAGGCTCAAATCTTAGAGCCAAGTCCTCCTCTTCCTCCTGACTCCCGTCTATGTCACTCAACAAAGCAGGCTCAAACCTTAATGCCAGATCTTCCTCATCACTCGAGCCTATGTCTTCTGACAGAGCAGGTTCAAACCTCCAAGTCACAACAAGAGAATATATGTAGTTCAGAGCTGACTGGTGGAGTTCTTGGTGCTTTCTGAACTTGACTGTTTGCAGACATTTCATGGCCCAACTAGGTAGCATCATCGGTGCCTTTGATGGTGGTGTGCGAACTGGTGATTGACTGCATACTGACTACTTCCAGAAACCAATGAAAATCTGATTGTGGTAATGTCCACTCAGATAAAGAGTTCCAGCCTAATCTCCCTTGCAACGCTGGCTGGGGAATTCTGGGAGCTGAAGTCCACACATCTTAAAATTGTCACTACTGAGAAACACTGATATAGAACGTCATCTTTCAGAAAAAATGTCCAAAGTGGAGATCAAGAGAGTCAAGATGACAGTTGCAACTATCCAATCAAGCCTGCATCCACCATCTTTAACCTCTCCTTCCCGGGTTGTTGGCCAGACATACTACAAAACCAAACCCGTAGTGTAGAGTAGAAGTATTTCCTAGCATAGAAATGGCTATTAAACTTCCCCATGATCTCTTTTCAAGTGAGTGGGGAGGGGGAGAGAAGGTAATAAAAGGTTTTGGCGGGAAATAAGGTAATAAAAGGTTTTGGTGGGAAATTTATAAGTGCTGTCTGCTTAGAGCTCGAAGCTTTGTTAGAGACCCACACACACCAGGGGTGGGTTTCTACTGGTTCTGTCCACCTCTGTAGAACCGGTAGCTCTGAAGAGCAGCAGACATAGAATCGGTTCTATGTCTACTGATGTTTTTGCCCACCCAGCCCCCTGGGCTCTTACCTGATCTTTATTTCCTGATTTTTCAACTTCAGCTGCCGAACGAGGCACAGCTAGTTAGAAAAGCAGGAAAAGAGGGCAGTTTCAAAGGCTGCGTCTCTGCAGGCAGCTGCTGATGACGATTCACAGGTGCGCGGCTCGCAGCCTGCAGGGAAGCTCGTAAATCCCGAACTGGTAGTTAACCCTATCGTATCCCACCCCTGCCATACACCCACTTTATGGTCTGTTCCTGCTGCTCCCCTCTGGGAGGAGATTTTGAAGTATTTCTAACAGGACTACCAGATTCTGTAACAGTTCTGTCCCCTGTGCAATCCATCTGGTAAACTCGCAAGATTCTTCCCCCCCCCCCGCCATTTACATGTATACATCCAAACTAGACACTGTGGTTTCTCTGTATCATATAATAGGTGTGTGCATATGCATAATTTTCTATTTATTTATTTTATTTATTTAGTCATGTAGTGTATATTGGAGATGGTGACCCTTTGAGAGCTGTATGCAGTTAAAGTTCATTTTAATGTATGCCAATTAGTGTACATTCAAAGTGACAATAAAGTTAGTCAAAGTCTAAGCTTCTGTGGGGCCAGCCTGAGGGAGAAAACAGGGTAGGAGA